GTTTTTTTTTTAAAGGGGTCATATGATGCGATTTCGAGTTTTCCTTTCTCTTTGGAGTGTTACAAGCTGATTGTGCATAGATAAGATCCCTGAAGTTGCAAAGACTAAAGTCTCAAAACCAAAGAGATATTCTTTATCAAAGTTAAGACTCTGCCACGCCCCCCTAAAACGGCTCGTTCTAACACGCCCCTACATATCTACGTCACTATGTGGAAATATTTGCGTAATGCTGCCCAAATGTGCACGCAAAGAAAGAAGGCGTGGTTTCAGTAACCGCAGTTAGTGTTGAAGCAGCCATGTCAGGGAGACGCTGTGTGTTTCTAGGCGAAAGCAAAAGCACTTTATTTGGCCTTCCGAAAGTAGATGCATTTAGGAATCTTTAAGATTACTTACAACAGAACAGCAATGCATTTTATGGACGACCGTTTCGTGAACCTAGGAGAGGAGGCAATTTTGACTTTGCTATGACAATCTGGCGCTTCTGAATCAGCTACTGTTTTGTTATTAGTTTAAGTATTTGCTATTGACTGTTCAAATGTGGAGTTTTGTGTGTGTGTGTGTGTGTGTGTGTGTGTGTGTGAGGGGAACGGTCACATCACAGGAGAGCGACCTGCCTGTCAGAAATCATAGCACGTCCGCTGTCTTAACCGCGGCTTGTGTACTGCATCATTACTGTGTCTGTCACGTGACTCTGTTGCCCTTTCGGGCTTGAACTGATGGTAAAACTAATGACATTATTTACTGTCTTTACATTTATGTTGAAAGCTGAAGCTCGCGATTATAGAAAGAGGCGTTACATTTCCGACGTGTGCTTGTGGTGTTCGGCCAATCACAATGCACTGGGTCAGCTGGCCAATCAGAGCAGACTGTGCTTGTCGGAAGGAGGGGCTTTGTAGAAAACAACATGTTTGAGAGAGGCGGGGCATAGAGGAACTACAATAATGTACAGTATTTGAAAAATAATGTGTTTTTTGAACATTAAAGCATGTCAACATATTCTGTTACACCAAATACACAAAATAATGATCTTTAAAATAGCACCATATGACCCCTTTAAAATATTTCACAACTTCTTAATAACTGCATTTAGGAACATTTTGACAAACTTTTCGGTCTTATTAACTTTGTTCTTAAGATTTTCATGAATTTATTTAAAGGACAGTTGTGGTCATCATCTCATCTGTGGTTCCAGTATTTTGACTGTAATGTTGTACCACATCCATGTTATGAATGTTATGAAACTGCTTTCGCAACACAAACCATCATCAATTAAGAGATCAGATGATAAAAATGTAGGCCTACTGGGTAAAACATAAATAATGGCAGGGTTGCCAACTCTCACGCATTTGGCGTGAGACACACGGTTTTAGGCTCCAAATTGGCAACCCTGCTTGCGATATGAAACAATGTCTCAGCTTTCAAATTTTGTAGGTTTTAATACTAAATTCAAATAATAAATACCATTTTGGCGTGCTTAATGTGGCGTAAATCATAAAATGTAGCGTTTCAGTTAAAGCCAGAGCCATGAAAAATAGTTGCGACATGCTTCTTTGACCTCGCTGGCATCGCCGCGTGGTTCATGGAGCTCTCCAAACAAACCAGCGCTGTAATACATTTTAATGGGTTTAAGCAGGATAGACGACAGCTTCACCATACAGGTATTTGCAGCCATTTTTGGTAAACATTACAGCATATTATGTATTGATTATTACGATGATGACATTTACAGTATCATTTTATTCTGGAGAGTGATGGAGGAGCAATATTAATATGGTTTTCTTAACCCTCAGGTATTGCTTGCTTATAATGTGACCATACAGCTTAACTATTTTTCAGTTAAATAAGTGTTCTATATTTTAGTTCAGTAATATTGAATATTTTGAGGAGATCTTTTGGTACTATTTACTATTTGTGCAATAATTATGGTCCATTAATGACTTAAAATATTTTTTTCTAATATTTATATTAGTCTACTTAGGCTATATTACAATTAGTGTAGTATTTAAAGCAGCACTATGTAACTTTTGGCGCTGTAGCGGTTAATAAACAGAACTGCACACATCCCGCGGAAGAACATTCCAACCGGAGCTACTTCTCTAAGCTTATGTCTACGGCGAATCACGCAGGTATGTGTTACTCCGCAGCGGTGACGACCCGACCAGACTACAATAGTCCAAATATAAGTACTTATTATAAGTGTACCGTAGTGATTCGGAATAAGACAAAAACGCGGGTTGGACGATGAATTCATGATGTACTCGCTCATTATATACATTTTGCAAATTTTGAACACAGAAAAAGTTGCATAGTGCTGCTTTAAGGTTAAAAGAGAAAATGGTTTTAAATTCTAATGCAAAGAGGCAAATTAGAGTCATTTTGTGGTCAGAAAACAAAAATCATTTTCATTAGTAATGCCATGATTTACCCTCTATGTACCTGTACTAAATATACATGTATCTAGACTATTACAGGTCATACCTACTTATTTTTAAGTTTTTCATTTGAATAAATACAGTAGTCAACATTTGAAGTGGATCAAAAAAGTTAATCAAAGTTGTCCTAAGACAAGAACGCATTTTGGTTTTAGGTTTAAGGACAATTTGATGAAAGGTTTTGATCCACTTCAAATGTTGACTTGTAGCTTTATTTAGACATGATTAAACAATAAATGTGAAATTTAAAAAGTGAATAACCTTTTTTTAATGATACTCGTATAAGTACGCACAATGGGCCTCATTCATGAAACACGAGCAGAACGAATATTTGTGTAAATCGTTCGTAAAGCCGTTCTGACGTAAACATTCGAATTCATGAAAATGTTCGTATTTTCAAAATGTTAGTTGGTAGGAAAGAAATGTAGGCTACACCTGCTCCCTAAAATGGTGCGTAAAACGTTCTGTGTTCATTCAGGAAAACTGATGACACTGAATTTGATGCACTGCCATTATAATATTTTACAAGGTCGTTGGGCCGGAATGTTTTTTTTGTTTGTTTTTTTTTCTTGTAGCTGAGAGTTGATAAACTGTTTAGCTTTGGGTAAAACCTTATACAGTCTATGGGTAAAACGCAGCGCTTGTCACTGTCACTTTTTTACCCAGCCGTCCAATCAATGGAGGAGGGGCGGGACAAATACTACACCGACCAATCATACTACTTGTACAACAACTGAACAACAATAGAGAAGTTAATATTGCTGGTTACTGCATTTTTATATTCAGTAATATTCTTCAAAATGAGATACTAGTAATACGTCACTGCCGTGGATATTTCAAATCATAGCAACCAAAGCCTCTCAGCTAGAAAAACGCTGTGCCACCAAAGCGTTCTCCAGCACCACCAGCTGGCCGTTTTAAAAAGAGCGCCTGACATTTTTTTCAGCTGGCATTTTTCTAGAACTTTACAGATCATTAAAACTTAAAAAACACATAGGCATATGATATATACTTAAAGGAATATTTTGGGTTCAGGTTCAAGTTGAGCTCAGTCAACAGTATAATGTTGATCACAACAAAATTGGGGGTCCAATCTGTTAATGTTAAAATACTCACTGTTTCAATATAGCCACAAGACAAATAAATACAAAAAAATCATTTGCATATTCTTGACATCCAGAGCTACACACACACATGCACATCTTATATGTATGTTGTAGTTTCATTTAAAAGTTTATGCAGATGACAAGTAACACAAATAATATCTTCTTACTATCAGTGTAACTGACAGCACAAGCTGAGAAAAAAAGGCTTGCAGGCAGCTCATTGTCTCCACCCATCCTCACATTTATATAGTGTTTTGCCAGCAAGAGCTCATTGATTGTCTTCATGATGTCCATCATCTCTCTGCTCCTGCTGGCCTCTCTGCTGCCACACCTGACCTTCACTGGTGAGACTGATTATTTAACAGCATATTAGCTATATTAACTGGTATGTACCGAATAAGCTGACTAACAGCACTATCTCTCTCTCAGCTCGTGTGAATGTGGGTATAGTGAACGGCAAACAAGCAAAACCCCACTCCAGACCTTACATGGTTTCTATTCAGATTTCTGGGCAACACGACTGTGGCGGATTCCTCATTTCCCTTCACTGGTGAGACTGATTATTTAACAGCATATTAGCTATATTAACTGGTATGTACCGAATAAGCTGACTAACAGCACTATCTCTCTCTCAGCTCGTGTGAATGTGGGTATAGTGAACGGCAAAGAAGCAAAACCCCACTCCAGACCTTACATGGTTTCTATTCAGTTGACCAAGAGACATGTCTGTGGTGGATTCCTCATCTCTGATGAGTTTGTCATGACTGCTGCACATTGCTGGAAAGGGTAAGAGTTTTGTTCAGTCTAAACTGCAATGTTGAATTAAAATCGACAAAATGACTGCAGTGCAAGAAGACAATGTTTTGGATTACATAAATGCACATTTTCAACAGATATCCAGAGATTCTGACGGTTGTGGTTGGTGCTCATGATTTAAGGAAAAGTGAGATTTCAGACCGTGTCGAAGTGAAGTCCTACATCCCACATCCATACTATACATTCTGTTCGCTTCAGAATGATATCATGCTTTTCAGGGTAACAACCTGTAAAACGTTTAGTTGTTCAAAATAATATCTGATCAGAAGACAGTGGCATAAACCTGACATAACTATGTTTGAATTTCTATTCAAGTATCCTTTTTTTAAGAGGCAATTGTAAATATTAATAAAACATACACATTGACTTTCAAGGCTTCTGTACTAACTTCAAAAACAGCAGTATAATCAACTTCAGTTTAGTCTCATAAAAGATGATTAAATCTCTTAATAATGGTTGTGTTTTTGAATTACAGCTACAGGAAAAGGTCAAACTAAATAACGATGTAAAATGGATATCATTACCAAAGGAAGGAGATGTTAATGGAGATACTCTCTGTAGTGTTGCGGGCTGGGGAAGACTGTGGATGAATGGCATATTGAGCAGTCGTCTAATGGAGGCAAACATGACTACAATAAACCACGCAGTGTGTCAACATAAATGGGGATCCAAGTACTTCGAAGCCTCGCAGATGATCTGTGCACATGGTGATGGAGGATCCTGCAAAGTATGTAAATTTTTTAATTTTTTTTATGGTAATGACTTTGACTTTAACTTTATTTTTTATGACTTTATGGTAATGGTTTCACTAGTGATGTGCTGATCTTTGTTTCTTAACAGGGAGATTCAGGAGGTCCTTTGGTTTGTGGAAACACTGCAGCTGGTGTCACATCTTTTGTGTCCAGAGAACGCTGCAATTCACCTGAGCGTCCTAATGTGTACACTAAGATTTCAGCATATCTTCCATGGATCCACCAAATCATTAGAAATATTAAGTGAATTAACAAAAAATGAAGGAAGAAATGTTTTTTTCTTGAATTCTTCTGTAAATCTTTTAATAAAAGTGTCACATGGCAATCAGTTAGTTGAAGTGTCCTCATTGTCACAATCACATATAAAATGTCCAAAGTCATTCCACATTAGTTCACTTGTTTGCCATCTAGGTGATGCTCTTTAATTTCTAGTCATGCATGTATGGCTCATATCTACTTGAATGAAGGGGGGAAATTCTAAAAACTGTGGGTAAAGAATTGTTCAGTCTGGTGAAAAAAAATAAAAACAGGTCTAACAATCAAACTGCTGCAATTTCTTAATTGGCTAAGAAATCAAATACACTGCTGGACGATAACCAATAAATTTGTATTCTATAATATTCTTTTCTGTATTTTCCTTATGACAATTTTATGGTTGGTTTATACAAGCATAATAAGGCAGAATAGTTTCTATACTGTAATAAATGTTATGTCAGCTAGCACTGCATTATTCATTTACTTTATTTATTACCTGGAAATGACTTGAAATACATTTTTTTTTAGCTACAGCGATAGCGGGATGCCTTTGTCCACATTAGGGATTTCCTGCACATCATAAGTTACTTCTACTAGGTCGTTTTGGACTTTCTTTGGACGTTCATATCACCTCGTTTTGGATATGAATAAATTGTCTAGTCATACATAGACTATCTTGTTTCTTCGCCCATGTGCACACACATCCAAAGCGTGTGCACAGAAAAAGTGATTTAACATGCATTTGATTGACAGATAAATCATGATTGATATCAGCCAGATGCACATAAAATGCATGTGCTCTTATTTCAGTGTTAACGTTGAGGTTATTTTAGCTTCATACATTTAGTTGAACTGCTCTGTTAAAGAGGGCGATTTTGAACTGTGTGCGTGCATTTTAGACACTTACATTGTTCTTGCTCGGTCTATGCAATAACTGTGTCCTTCTATCAACCGAGTTTTCTATTTACTTAAACTGCTGAGTGCTCTGGTAATATCAATGGTTATGACCCATTTCAGCAGCTGTCAAAATTACAATGTAAAATCAGAGCATAGCTCATACATTGACTAAAATATTAAAATGCTAATGATACTCATTCAAAATGTCAACGCCGGTGATTGGCAGTCAAAGCAAAGCGCGGTATGAACGCCCTGGTGAAAAATTAATAATAAATGTTAATAAAATGAAAAATAAATGTAGTGAAGTTGAATACTTTATTTTTATTCAACTCAAGTACCACAAGTAAAACTCAAGTAAAAGTACCACAATTTAATTGTTCTCAAGAAAGTAGAAAAATGTACTCAAGTACTGTAACGAAAGTATTTGTAAGTAGTTACTTTCCAACTCTACACATTAGCCAGTGCTTTCTGTGCCATACCTTTGCCAAAACTGGCCCAGATACATTTTAGGATAACTGGGCCACATTTGTGGCAACATATGCGGGCCACTTTATGCTCAGAACCACATTAGCTAGTGCTTACTGTGCCATATCTTTGGCAAAACTGGCCCAGATACATCTTAATATACCTGGGCCACATTTGCTGAAACATATGTGGACCACATATGGTTTACACCTTGATTAGACTTTGTTGATTGTGCCACATTTTTGCCAAAGGTGGCCCACATTTGGTTGGCACTATTTGGGCCATATTCACTATTTACCACATGGGCCACTTTAGGGTCACATTCAGATTACACATTGTCGTACACACCGCATCGTTGCCTACAGAGGCCCACATGTGATTTGATACATTTGGGCCATTTTTGCTATTTTATATGTGGGCCACTTCAGGCTTACATCCATTTTGTATGGGCCATAAGAAGGCCAGCAGTGCCCTATCATTGTCTTAAAGGGGTGGTTGATTGCGATTTAACTTTTTTAGTTAGTGTGTAATGTTGCTGTTTGAGCATAAACAATATCTGCAAAGTTACGTCGCTGAAAGTTCAATGCAAACGGAGATATCATGTTTTAAAATTATGGCAGTTTAATGCCTACAAAAATGGCTCGTAGGGACTACAACAAGTTACTTCCCGGGTTTGTGACATCACAAACCCAGACATTTACATAAACCCTGCCCCTGGGAACATGCAACAAAGGGGGCGAGGCTATGGTGCAATGCTTTAGAGAAGAAGAAGAGATGTAGCCATGCTCAAAACTAGGGGTGCATGAAAAAATCTATTCATTTATGCATCACAGTTCTGTCTTCTAACGATTCTAATGGATTCACAAGTTTCAAAATCAATGTTCTAAAGCAGCGGTTCTTAATCCTGTTCCTTGCGTCCCCCTGCTCTGCACACGCTCTGCTCTGCATCTCTCTCTCTCTCATTCAGCTCGACAGCTCAGCTCCAACAATGAACTGTTCGAATTATACACTTGTATGTGTTATAGACAGACATTTTTCACATAGCTATGAGAAGTGTTAAACATGGACGAGTGTGCGGTTGCCGTGCTGTATTAAAGCGTTAATCAGGATAAAACCGTATATTAAAAGCTAACATAAGCAGTAGCATTTACAAATAACAGCGTATCTAAAAGTATGAAACAACAACAAACAAAAAACATAGGCCTACCATTAAAAGCCGTGCTTGCACAGGTTCTGCACGATCCTCTTCAATAATATCCTCTGCTTCTCAATCGGGCTCAAACTGATAAGCGATATTAAAAACGCCATTGTTTACAATACAACCGGAGCACATGCCGCCAAGGTGAGGGGCGGGACCGCGCGTGCGCTAGAGGCGGTTTTGCCAATCAA